CGTAGAGAGTGTGGGGTTTGAGGGTATTATAGGAAAGTACGTGGGGTGCACTAAGATAAGTTGTAATTGAAAAAGTAAATATGAGGTGTATTAAGTATGTGGGGTGTATTCAACAATGAGGCGGGTGTAAATAAAACAACTCTTTTGGATTTTCTGTACATATCATACAAAAATCTGGACAATAAAAATGTAAAATGCACCAAACACCATTTCTTGGTGAGTATGTGTCAGAACTTGATTTTAAATGTGGACTAATGTTTTTTTTTCATGATTTCATCTCTGTAGGTTTCTTTGCTCATGGAAGATTATACGTTAGTAAGAACGTTCTCTCCAAAAGTTTCTTTCATTTCTTGTTTCTTTTCTTCTTTTTGTTTAAACGACAATTGTCAATCCAAGGAACAGTCACAATTTTCTTTTCTTTTACACAAATAATATTTGGGAGAGGAAAAAATCATGCTCGCTATCTCTAGCGAAATGATGAATGTGCTTAACCAACTAAGCTACAAGTCTTTTGCTAGAGCAGTCCCATTAAACTCAGTTTTCCTTGTTTTTTTGCTCGTTTTTACCATCATTTATTTGGGCTTGCACATCTCAAACTTTGTATTTTACATTTCTTGCAGATAATCCTCTATGGTTTCCGGGGATATCCTTCAGTAAGAACTTGTATTTCTTGCATATAATATCTCAAGTCCTTGATTTTATTCATTTGAGACACTTTCATAACTTATGCTCAAGCTTTTGACAATTCGTACTGTTGCCCTATTTGTTGCAGGACCTGGATGGGCGATACTCATGTGCCTCGGTAAGCTTGTAATTGTTCTCTCTTTCAATTTCCTTTATCTGGACTCTTTTGGTGATGATAAATCTCTTGTGCAGGTTTGTATTTAGTAGGAAGACTACTTTTAGGGGTTCCATTTCTGATTGCATTTCTGATCTATAGATGGCGAAGAAGACATTTGTCGGGGTTTAGCATCATCGAAGATTTTCTGCAAACCGAAAACAACTTCATGCCAATAAGGTACTCTTACTCGGACATTAAGAGAATGACTAATAAATTCAAGGACAAGCTGGGCCAAGGCGGTTATGGTTCTGTATTTAAAGGAAAGTTACGCAGCGGTCGTTTTGTGGCAATTAAACTTTTGGGCCAGCCTAAAAACAATGGGCAGGACTTCACTAGTGAGGTAGCTACTATTGGAAGAATTCACCATGTTAATGTGGTGCAACTTGTTGGTTATTGTGTTGAAGGATCAAAGCGCGCTCTAGTGTACGATTTCATGCCTAATAGCTCTCTTGATAAATACATTTATTCCAAAGAAGGAAGTATCCCTTTAAGTTGCAAGAAGATGTATGAGATTGCTTTTGGAGTTGCTCGAGGGATCGAATATCTACATCAAGGTTGACATGCAAATTCTACATTTTGATATCAAGCCTCATAACATTCTTCTTGACGAGAACTTTCACCCGAAGATCTCTGATTTTGGGCTTGCAAAATTATATCCCGTAGACAATAGCATAGTTACTTTGACGGCAGCAAGAGGGACAATCGGATATATTGCTCCAGAGTTGTTCTACAAAAATATTGGAGGGGTCTCATACAAAGCTGATGTCTATAGTTTTGGAATGTTGTTGATGGAAATGGCAAGTAGAAGGAAGAATTTTAGTACAGTCGCAGAGCAGTCGAGCCAACATTACTTCCCGTTATGGGCTTACGATCAATATAGTGAGGGAAATGATCTCTTGGAGATGGGCATTGTTACAGAGGAGGAAAAGATAATGATAAAAAAGATGGTTATGACTGCTTTCTGGTGTATTCAAATGAAGCCAAGTGATCGCCCTTCGATGGACAAAGTCATACAAATGCTTGGAGGAGATGTTGAAAACCTAAAATTGCCCCCCAAACCTTTTCTTAACCAACAAGAAATGCCGGGAGTCGATATTCAAGGTAGTTTGAACCCAAAATCTTCTAACGGCGAGATAACGTGGAGTTTATCAGCTAGGTGAAACGGTGATCATCAAGATGGTAAAAGATTCATCAAACTACTATTAAGTTTTATTTTCCTACTGTTAGTTAATAATTATATTTTGTTTTTGTAAAAAGATTTTGCTAAAAAATAGGGTAATATTAGGGAAATCAAAATTTTAAACCAAATGATATTATCGTTGATAATTGGATTGATACTTAAGTGTTATTAATGTGCTTATTTTCTATCAGTAACATATTATTTGATGACTTGTTATATTAACACCACACATATTATTGAATACACCCCTCCCACATACTTAATACATCCCACATTTGTTTTTTTAGTTAAAAATTATCTTAATACACCCTATATATTTCTCCACAATACCCTCACACCCCACACTATTAACATACACTTTACATTTTCTATATACACTCACATTTTCTACTTATATTCCACTCTTTACATCTTACGTGCAAATACATAATATCATCCAAAGCACTTTCGGTGTGAAGCTAAAGGCCTGTGGGATACTAGAGTTTTTCTAATTTCTCCCAACCACACGTGAGGCACAACTCCACTTTGAACTTAGAAAGGATTTAGTTCAACAAAACCTAAACGAGGTGTTGTGGGTTACCACCTCAACAATCTCATATTCTCATTAGCCTAATTCAACGGAGTGTACAAGGCATAACTCATACTCTATTACGTGCATGCAGAAGTGACTGGCGTTGCTGATGGAAATCTTGGAGTTTTGCACATCACGACATGTGAGGAAGTTTTATAATAAAAGCAGTGCAATTACGAGTGGAAACAGCTATTCATTTTAAATTGTACGTTATTTTTTAGGCAATTAGATCGGAGTCTAAAAACATAAGCTGCTTTTTAGTTTAATCCAGTTTTCCTATGATCCACGAATACCAATTTCGTGGTCTAAGAGTAAGACAGAGAGAGGGATATTATTTTTAGTTGTTATTTAATTGTGAAATCAATATGCAATTAGTATATAGTTTAGTAATATTTCTCTTCAGTTGACGTGAGAGGCTTTATGTTCGATATTCACTAAAAAAGAATTCTAATCACATTATTACTAAGTCATTGTGAAACTTAGTCCCACTTCGTACCTGTTAAGGTAAATAATATCGTTTTAAAAAAATAAAAAAAATTATGGAACTAATTAAAGCTTAACCGAGGAAGAGGAAATACATGTGGAGGTGCTGGAGGGAGAGTAGGGCTAGGCAAACGGGTCCTGGACCCGCAGGTAGGGGCGGGTACGGGCCGGTTCTTAGTTTTGTAAAAATAGATCGGGGCGGGGCGGGGCGGGTAATTGAAGTTTTAGGGACGGGCCCGTTCCAAAATTATAGGATCCGCGGGTACCCGGATCGGCTCATTTGTGTTAGATTGGACGGACGAGATTTAATATCATCTCTCCATCCAATCTCAACCGTCAGTTCAAGTTTTCAACTTTCAACCCTAGCCAACCTTCCCCGAGTCCCGAGTTCCAGAAGCATCCTCAGCCTCAGCAACCTCAGACCTCAGTCTCTCGGATTCTCAGAGACTCAAACTCTCCCTCGACTCCATCTCCCTGAGTCCCTTTCCCTATCCCTCTCCCTCGAATCCCTCTCCTTATCCCTTCCCTCGACTCCGACTCACAGTGCTCACCTCACCACTCTCACAGCGCTGTTGCGAGTCGCGACCAACATCATCACCCCCCATCACCACCTCCGCCGTAAAATTGAGGAAATCAAGCGCGCCATAAACCTCTAGGAAGTAGGAACTGGAAGTCTCTCTATGCACACCTTCCCCACTCCTCACACTTCGAAACCCTAGCGAGTCAGAGAACCACAATACGGCGTTGTTTCCCCTGCACAAACCTTGGGCCATCATCTTTGCCGTTCTAGCATGTAAGTATCTCTCTCTGTTTCGTCATTTTCTATCGAAAATTCATCTGATTTCTCATTTGGGCAAAATTGGGATTGTGCAACTTGAGAAATGTCAAATTGTTTTTGTGTAATTTTTGGAATGCCGTTAGGCAGTGTTTGGTTGCTGAGAAAATGCAGGAAAATGAGAGAACGGAAAAAGAATCGGAATTAGCCTTTTCGGTTTTTGGGATATGAGAACCGTAAAATGTTAGTGATTTGCAGCATCTATCCAGAAGCATAATTGTGGGGTTTCTGGTGTTGATTGGTAAACAGTTTCAAGCCGGTTAAATACCGTTATCGAATTGGCTGATTATTACATTTTCCCTTGCCTAATCTGCGATTTTTAATTAATTGGCAAGTTTAGATTGCATAACTAATTGTTTGTTACAATTCCACAACATTGACAAATTTGATTTTTGTATAAAGAGCAGAATTTTTTAGTGTATTTAGAGTGAACATTAAAGATTACGTTTGTGAGTTGTATCAATGGTTTTGATTCATTGTGTTGTTTATTAGCAAGTTTCTATGATATGATTGTTTACGCGTCTGGGCTACTAAAGAATTACTATACTTAACTATAATGGTTTCTGTAGCTTCTTTGCTCGTATTTTTTAATTTGACACCGATAAATCTAAAATCTATAACTTTTTCTTACACTTAAATCTAAAATCTAAAATTTGTGCACTGCAAAATCCAAACTGCAATTTGTGCAGTAAAAAAGTGCAATCTGTGCAGTTTTTAATTGCAATCTGTGCAGTTTGAGAAACTGCAATTTGTGCAGTTTTTTCAAACTGCAATTTGTGAAATCTGTGAAATTTATGGAATTTGTGCAGTTTTTTCAAACTGCAATATGTGAAATCTGTTCTGTGTAAAAACTGCAATCTATGCAGTTTTTTCAAACTGCAATCTGTGTGCAGCAAACATTTTTAAACAGGAAAAAAAAAATGACCCGTGTATCCGGACCGAACCGGGCCGTTTCAACCTGACCGGGTAAGGTCCGGTTCCTATTTTCAGAATTGTAATGCTCGGCCCGGCCCGGCCCGTGCCCAGCCCTAAGGAAGAGTCCTGCGGACTCGCTTTTTAGGCGAGTGCTGCCAACATTTCTCCAATCTTTTTACCCGGGCTGCTACTATTCGTTTCAGAAAAAGCCAGTCGTCAAAATCCGACCCGGTTAGACGGGTCTGCAAAGCTTAAAACCCTAGGACCCGACATCAACCAAAATCAGAGAGTGCGGGTAAGTATTCGACCCAAAAAAGGGATGTCAGTGTCTGAGGAAAATGCCAACATACGGGACCACCACCGCCGCTTGCTGGCGGCGAAATACGAGCTGAGACGGAACCTGTACAAGGCCCTCTGCAAGGACCCAAGCCTTCCCAGCGATCTGCGCGAGGAGAACCGCTTCAAGCTCTCCAAGCTGCCCCGGAACAGCTCCTTCACGCGCGTTAGGAACCGCTGCATCTTCTCTGGCCGCGCACGCGCCGTCTACGAGACCTTCCGTATGTCCCGTATCGTTTTCCGTTCTCTTGCCTCCAAAGGCATGCTCAATGGCGTGAAGAAAGCGTCTTGGTAGCCTCCCAAAACGGTGCGCCTCCAAGCTCTTCGTTTCCATTGTTTTCTCTTTTTTTTGTTCGCAATTTCTTCGCTTTCAGAAATGGGTTTCGTCATGAAATCGAAATTGTGCGTATTCCGTCATTCAGGTCTGTTAATTTTTATGTTTTTGCAATTTTTTTGAATATTTATGTGTCATTTCTTTGTTACCGAAATGGGTTTCTTACGGAATTGGAACGTTAGTGCTGTGCAAGAGATTTGATGCTCTGAGGAAATGGCGAAAATATTTAACTGGGAAATGAAAACCTTGGTAATTATCAAGAAGCTAAGTTTTTGAGTTGTAGAAGTTTCGGTTGTGAGTGTCAGACTCTTAAAAATGTCAATGTGGATGAGATTATATGGAATTGTTTGATACAACAGCTTAGAATTCTTTGCTAAGCCTGTTGCCAGCAATGCCGAGAGCTTGTCTATAAAAGCTCGAAAATTGGCCGTCTTGGATGGCAGTTGTCACCATTTCTAGAAGTTTGTTGTGGTGTTTGAAAACGATGGAATTGGAAATATGTTCTGATTAGAAGAAAGGAAGCAGTGGCCCGAAACAGAGAAGAGCTTTGAAGCTCAATAATTAACTTTCAGGAAAAATAGAGGAAGAAACTGTATGCGAATGTGATAAATAAGTTTCTTTTGCAAATGCTTCTTTTAAAACAATAAAATGGCTTCTGCTTCCAAAAACACTAGACTTAGCAATCTGTATGGAATTTTTCAAAGGAGAAGGGTTATGAAGAGGAGGAATTTAATTCTGTGGATTTAGGAAAAACGTCCCTGTACCAACGACTCATAGTTTCCGTGGATCATTAAGAATATGGGCGATGTATTTCTAGAGAGAATTTTGTGCTTGGACGAAACAAAGGTTGAACTTATTGGTTTGTCTATTCAATGGCACCCTGGTGGACCTTTTGAAAGACAATTTCCTGTTTACACTAGAACTCAGTTTTCTTGAATCATTTAGTAGTGTCAACGTTACTCAAATTTCGTTTAGAAATGAAGGAATTCTTGTCCCCTCGCCCCTTTTGATTTTTTTTATCTCTGGCTCCAAGAAGTACCTTGAAGAGGTCTCTAGAATTCGACAGTGGCTTTATAATGTTATGGCGGCTGATGTGCTGAGTGCTGTTAGATGACTTCCTTTTAGTCAGCCTTACTTTTTATCCATAGATGATCTATTTTAAGCATAAATCAGTTTTTCTTTGGTAGCTCATTTCCAGGAATAATTACTTAGGTGTATTATTTTCATATCTGTAAATTCAGTGGCTAGTGTTTGGCCTTCTCGGTGAAGGTTGCATTAATTGCTCATACCATTTGATAACAGAGGTATGCATGGATATATTACACTATATAGATTAACGGGGTAACGCTGTCTGTCTAGAGATAGTGCTAGTTATCATGTGAAGACGAACAATATTTGCAGTATCAGAAGTAGGACTTATAATTAAAACATAGTGTATCCTTATCTATTTCTGCCTGTCCTCTCTGATCTGTTTTTCTTAATCTTGTTAATTTGCTGCTTTGGCAATTCGGTGTAATCTGCTCTTGGTTTTTCGTTTACGTACTTTCTGATTTATCCAGACTGACAGAACCTCCCATAATAAGTTTCCATAGTTCTCTTTCTGTTCACTGTTGGAATTTACGACTCTACTTTCTGTTAGTACTAGTTCATGCTTTACTAGAGTGGATGCTTAGTATGGTTTTCAACGAGCTAACCTTTTTGTCCCCTCTATTGTTATTTTCTATACAAATTAAGTTATTAGCAAAGTGACCTTTTCTATTCATCGCTTGTTTTCCTTCCAGATTGGTTATGAGACTGCAGAAGTTAGTCAAGTTCATCGGTTTCTTTGTTATTGCTCGGTGTATGACAGACTACTCATTCCCCTCTACTTCTGGTTATGGAAAACGTATACGCTTATTGGTGTGTTGAATAAAAGTTTTAGGCTAACAATTTGAAAGTTGAGTTTATTTTTGTATGATTATTTGTAATGTTGCAGTACTTGTTTTCCGAGTCGAAGTATGGAACAGTGCATGTGTGCGCTTTTGCGTGCGCATAAACATGGGGCCTTGGTGCCAAATGAATGAACTATGCATGCCAAGTGCGGTCTTTTGATAAAAGCATATACATTCCAAGGATAAATATGTAGAGAAGTTTTTGGTTGTACAAAAAGGTCCCTCCCTTTTCTTGGAGAATGACGGTTTGGTCCATTCACCTAGCCACTTAGTACTATGGTCTAGTGGTATTCCTCTTCACTTGTAAGTGAGAGGTTTTAGGTTTGACCCATGCATCTTCTTTAAATTTTTCATGAATATGGAGCATTTTAAAATCTGCCTTGATGATGTCTTGTTCGCCAGTTCTTGTTTTCGGGGAAGCTTTTGTTTCAATTCTTGCATTGAATCTGCAGTGATGAAGTCTTGGAACGAGTCTGTTATGTTTTCTTGTCCTACAATTTGTGAAGATGATAGCGTATCTGTTGGAAGTTGGATTGATTGTGTATCAGCTAATGTTAAAGTCTGTGTAATGTAATTGAAGTTTCTACTTCCCCATTTCAACTGAAGAATATCTTCTAATTCGTATATATTACTTCAACCAGATACTTGTGCTAGTGATGAGTTTTGACTGGTTTATTCCAATTTTAATCGGTTATTACTTTACTTTAGTCTAAAGAAAGGTTTGGAATTGGCACTATAGAAATGAATAGTATTTTGATCCGAATTTCAGATTAATTACAACGATGCCATTGGTATTTCTGTTGGTTTTGGGTCAGCAGCCCGATATGTTGGCTTTAGTTGGGAAGCCCGACCCTCAGTAAGGTCCAAATTATTTAATTACGTTTTTGCCATCAAGGATTACAATCCAATGGTGGAGATGGTCTATTATGGAAGGCAATTTTGTCCTCTCTGCTTTGGGTGAGATAGGGGGTCAGCGGGAAACTATCATTTGCTGCCGTTCAATTAGGGTTTCGGGGAGGGTCTGCGAGAGAGAGAGAGAGAGAGAGAGAGAGAGATGGCAATGGAAGGAGAGCGAGGGGGAGGGGTAGGGGTCTCGACACTGTTGATGCAGATGAGAGGGTGGGTATGGTCAGAGAAGACCATATGGGTCGTCGGGATTTCAGGGAGATGGGGTAGGGGTCATCAACAAACCCTACTGAGAGTGGGGTGTGCCGGATCTTGCGCTGCATGCCTCAAATCCAAAGATAAGTTTCTTTTTTAAATTGTATTCTTTAATGTTGCCTTGGATTTTCTGATTGGTTAGTATGTTAGGTCCGGTTTTGGGGGATTTGTGATTTTATAGAGAGATGGATAGGGAGAAGAGATAGACAGAGAGAGGAGAAAGCATGGCTGTGTGCATTTTTTTGGGATTATTAATGGGTTAGTGCGCAGGGTCAGTGTTGGAACCTTATCAGGACCTTAATACTTTATCTTTATTGCCCTTTATGATATTTGTAATGGTTGTTGGCTGGTGACTCAGCACTGTTCTCTTTTGTCTGTTTTGGGCTAATGGAGATATATGCCTCTTCTGTATCTCCCTTTTGGTTTTATGAAATGAATTAGTCTTTTATCTTTCTCTGCTTTTCTCTTTTATTCCTATTTCCCTTTCCTCTGTGTGATTGGTACCTACCATTTGGTATCAAGAGCCAGGTTGTGCTTCCATAGGCAAGAACAAGGCGTCAGTGCAGGTGGCCGACGTCCCTGAGGCGGAATTTGAAAGGGAATTTCACCAGCAGCAAATTTTCACACAGCTCCAGGAATTCCATGAGACACTAACTATGATGAATCTCCGTCACGACGATCTTCAACACCACATAGCTGACCTGCAACACTCTATCACCGATCTGTCAATCCACCGTTCTCGACAGGAAGACTTCCAACAGACAGTGCTTGAAGAGCTCCGTGCTCTCAAAATCCAGAACCCCACCCCACCCGTTTCCCAGATCCCAATCAGTTCCATTGAGTCTGTTGAGAGTGTCATTTTCTGCTCGTATCATGTTCGTGGCTTACTTTGGTTCATAAAGTTCCACATTTATGATGAAACTTATATATGTTATGCTGCGGGTAATGTAAATAGGATCTCATTCAAAATTCAGCTTGCATCGCATACTGTTTCTTAGTGATTTGTTTGTTTGCTTTTGGTTGATTTGCTTATTCTCTGCTGGAATGAATATTGAAGAATTGCCTAATGGTTTCGTATGTAATAAAACATTTTAAGCCTGCTAAGTTTTCGATAGTTTTGACTAAACGTAGTTGATCCTTATGAATTTTATGTGTTACTGGTGCTATGGTTGTATTAGATGTAGTGATATACATGTCCTGTGTTTGGGTGGGAATGGGTTTCTGTTAAATGATTAAACTTGGGAAATGATTTTCACACTCTCGTATCCTTCTGCGCAGTCGGTTTATTTATGTCCATTGATTCTACGGCTAGAAATAAACATAGTTGTGCAATGGAAGAAAAATTGTGTGAAAATCACTTCCCTTAAATTTTATAGATGAATTGTTTGTCTTGGTATTGGACTCCTAATCTATTTTTTGTTGTGGTTTCTGCATGAAGTTTTGAATTTTTGGGATGATTTTGTTCACCGAGGTAACTGAAGTAGTGGTCCCTGAACTTTAGATTAATCAGAGCTTTAGTTCCTAAACTAACAATCCGTGAGGTAATGTGAAGCAATGATTCTTTTTGCTAACTATGTTAGAACTTCCTTTCAAAATAAAGGGTTTAGAGGGACTAGCTAAAATGATCATTGTTCCACATTATAATAAGTTTAGAAATCAATACTCACGAGTTTTGAGTTCAGGGATTATTGCTTCAATTTTCTCCTGTTGAGTACCTTCATCAGGTCATTTAAGAAGTTTTTATTTTTTTATTAAGTGGAAATGATAATAGGAACTTAGAAGGAATATACTTAAGATCTTGTAGGAAAACATCCTGAACGATATTTGGAGGGTCCTCGACTCAAAGTACATTTTTTTAAACGAGTACCCTTCTGATGTCGTTCAGGATGTTAAGGTTACTCTGTTGCACGGGACACATAGGCAAATTCCACCTCCTGCACATGGAAAACCCAAACTTTTCTTGCACGTGAGCTGCTCAATACTTCGGAATTAATTATGGGACCTCTTTATCTTCTTAATTAAACGTTTCCTAATTGATTCTGCATATCCGGTGACTCCCAACATATGAGAAAGATGTTCATGGCACATGGACGCAAGTATTTATCAAATATAAGAAAAAATCGACCCGTAATTTTAAAAATATCAGTTTTTATAAAAAAATATCATATGTAGCCAAAAAGTCATTTCAATCGACACAAATACCTTTTAGTATAAAAGCAATGTTTTGGTTATATATAAGTCTTCGATTGTAATTGATTTCATTCATATTTGGGTATTTTTACAGAAATAGAATAGTTTGATTTCTCGTTGTTTTGACATACATTTCGTCACACCAGTAAAAAAGTAAAATAAAATATAAAAAATTTCTTTCATATGTGTTTTAAGTTATCTCATACTGTTGACATTTGGCTGTCGCAAACCTCTTACAACATTAGTCAGACGTTGAAGTGTCATTGAACTGGTACAAACCAATATGAATTTATGGGACTCATGGAGTTACGTAACGGAGGAAATCTTAATCTGGTGTATGACCTCTAGATCGGCTACACACACAAATCCCACTTGTAATTTTGTACCACCAAGGCCCACTTGTCGTAGAAAAAGTGTGGGGTGTCATAAGTCATACGTAAGAATCTCTATCGCTTACAAAGTAAGACTTCTTTCTTTGTCATAATTGTGTGAAAATTGCATTATTTTAACTTGGAACCTGCCACTTTTGTTCCTTAAAAACTTAAAAAGTAAAAGTACCCCACCATTTAGACAACCCTTTTTCTAATTGTTACATTCTTTTGCTAATTTTAAATGAATGTCTCACTCCATAACTTCGAGACCGTTCTTCAAATCAACGTAACACATCAATCAAGATCCTCTTATATATAAATAGTTGATTTTAAATGAATGTCTCACTCCATAACTTTAAGACCGTTCTTCAAATCAACGTAACACATCAATCATGATCCTCTTATATATAACTAGTTGATTTTTCAAACTTGTTAAAATTTGATTAGTTCAACTTTCTCATCTTTGCAAATTTCTATGAAAGAATAATCCTGAAGATACCAAAAACTCTTTTGGTATAGCCAACTGATACGACAATCTTCATTCCTAACTTATATTGTATGCGTGTTGACCATTGGTATCCAAGATCCATTAAGTTTCTTGATTCACCAAGCACCCATGCACGTCCATCTACATCCCAAACTATTGTGTTTAGTTTATGATTCATATTGCTTCATCTGACTAACATTCGAAGTAAAGGGCGGCCGAATAATTATTTTTGCATATGAATTAATTGGCTTTGTTAGGAAAATTTTGGTATTCCATACTAAATGTGAAGAGAAAAACTTGGGTGGGGATGACATGCTATACAGCAAGATAAGTGATACGTATACATAGTTTCCAGGTAAAAAATATAGTGTTACAGAATTCAACCTCACAAAACATGTTACAGTAAAATAGATAAAACCGCTAGACCTTTTCAACAATGGCAGTGCTATGTATAGTCGTTAAGGCCTAAAGTCGTATAAATATGAAGTGAAATCTAACGGTTGGTGTCTGAAAATGAGTTACAGAGGAGGAAGAGAAAGATGGTTAATTATAACCACATTGTGGTGTATTCAAATGAAACCAAGTGATGGCCCTTCGATGTACAAAGTCATCGAAATGCTTGAAGAGATGTTGAATGTCTGCAATTGCTTCTCAGGCCTTCTCTATGCCCACAAGAGACGTCTGTGACTGGGTGATATTCAAGAAAATAAATCGAACCCAATGTGTTCTAACATGGAGCTAACATGTTCATCGTCAACTTGGTGAATATCAAATTGTTAAGAAAGTGCAATAATGTTATAATAATTAAATTCTTACTTTAAAGTGATTTAATTAGTAAAGAACTGTCGTCCGTAAATGTTGTTACAGTTTGGATGTGTGTGTGTATAAAAAAACTGAAAGAATGAAGAACAATCACCGAAGGATTTGAGAGAAGGATGGATAGTTCTCTCTGCAAAATACACACAGGAATATACTTCTATTTCTCTCTCTTGCACGCGAAATCGTGCACTGCATAACGGCTAGTTATGCAGCTGGATTCTCACCATTACATCAAAGAGATCTCAGCCACACATCTAGCTGGATTCTAGGATTCAAATACATGTCAATAGACAATTACAATATGAGCCCTACACTTAGTAATTTATAACTCAAGTGAATACACAACTAAATACAAGACATTATTACTAATGTAATCAGCTCATGGCTTATACACTAACAAATGTTTGCGCTTGAATTCATCTATGAACTACTGGTTTGTGGTATACATCTACATGTTACTCTAATTCAGCAATTGCTTCTAACTCTAGGAGGCGCCTTTTGGGGATGCCTGCCTGTGATGTTTGTATAGGACCTGCAGAAACAAAAGGATTAGGAGGCATCCTCAAGTTTTCTCCTCCTCCTAGCATCTGAACAACAGTTGTCATGGAAGGACGATCCACCGGGTGCCACTGGATGCACCAGAGCCCTACAATTGCAAGTTGCTTTGGAATCTTACCATCCCCTTCTTCCCCGATATGGATTCGTAGGTCATCTCCTTCCTCTAGAAGGTTATAAATCCATTCTGGATAGTAAATTTCATTGGTCGTGCTCTCTGTGGTTGAACCAATATTCTTCCTTCCTCCTATCATCTCAAGCAGAAGCATTCCAAAACTATAGACATCTGCCTTGTAAGACACATTTCCAAAATTCCTGGAAAACACTTCGGGTGCAATGTAGCCCATGGTCCCCCTCGCTGTAGTCATTGACACTATGCTTTGATCCTTGGAACATAACTTGGCCAGACCAAAATCAGAGATTTTTGGTGTGAAGTTTTGGTCTAGCAAAATATTGTGGGGTTTGATATCGAAATGGAGGATTCGTAGATCGCATCCCAGGTGAAGATATTCTATTCCTTTGGCAATGCCGATAGCAATATCTTGCAACTTATCCCAACCAAGGAAAGAGTTTTTTCTATCTACTGATGAAATATAATCCTGGAGTGAACCATTGGGAAAGAACTCATAAACCAGAGCTCGTCTAAATCCATCTGCACAAAAACCAACCAAGCGAACCACATTGATGTGGTGAACATGACCCATTGCTCCCACTTCATTTACGAACTCTTCCCCATCGCCCTTAGAATTGTTAAGTACCTTCACAGCAACAAAGCATTCAGAAGAAAGTTTTCCTTTAAAAACAGTTCCGTAGGCTCCTTGGCCTAATTTGTACTTGAATTGATTTGTAATCCTCTTAATATCTGCATATGAATATCTGCTTGGCTTGAGAGCTTTGTAGTCCGCTAAAAATGTTTCAAGTTTTAATCGATTCTCTTTTTCCTTTTGATCAGCGCTATAGACATGATATGCTACAAAGATCCCTAGTAACAGAACAAATGAACCCAGGGTTGCTCCTGCAAATAGATAGATTCAATCCATGAGTAAACATTTATTCTCGAGTGTCCTTTGGAAATGAAACAAAGATAAACACCACTCTTACACAACTCACCTGTGGCCACAAACGTCTTTGTTTTGCCTGCAAAAAATAGTTGTGAAAATTAGACTGTCAGTTATCGAAATTAATTAATATCGTCACCACATATATAAGCCACTAATTACATGAAGGGAGAAAAATCACAGCAGGTAGCAGAGTATATTGATCATCATCTTTGAAAAAAAAATAATAATAAATCATGAGCAGAATTTATGCGAAATATAGATTTACATGTTATGCTTACTTGGTTTCGTATGGGGAACACATCCAATTTCGCTCGTGGTGCCATTGTTCATCAATCTACACCTCTTGCCCTCAGCTTCACATTCTGTACAATTCGGTTTTGACCATTTGAATTGAAGAATAAGACTGCCATTTACCCAATCGCCAACTGGAACTGATAAAACATCATACATCCTTGTACAAGACTGTAGACGTGTGAAGCTTTCAAATAATCCAATGAAAGAAAAGACGCCATAAATTCTGTCTCCGTGGCCACCAAGGCAGGGGACTTGAAAGCCACCATATGTATCTCTTTCAACAAGAGTAGGGCAACGGAATAAGGTGACATTAAGTACGCCATTTAGGAAGTAGAAGGGAGAGATTACCGTATTGGTGATTTCCAAAGGCTTCAACAGCAGGCAATTAACTGGGTTATAATTATATACTTGGATTTCCTGATACTTGTAATCTATGTGTTTGACAAGGAATTTTATTAGTACCGTCTCATATCTCCCATTGCATTCAATCTTATTATCCCCACAATGATGCCAGCGGCGCAATGGGAAATGGATAGCCAGGCCATGATCATCGCCGCACTTGGACTCTGTGCACGCATGTGGCTTCCCCCGACCCCTTCGATGAAGGCCAATAACAATAATACGCAAAAGGAAGAGATGGTCAATTGCTGCATCTCTGAGCTTACAATGCCTACAGAGATTTTATTTTTCTCTAAGCAGAGCTAGGATTGAGGGGTGTTTAATGGAGCGATAAACATGAACTCGTGCATAAGATTGGAGCCTTGACAGTGGTTACGTGTTGTGTTGAAAGAAAATAAATCAATTAAGTAGAAAACGAAAGGTGTGCATCATTTCATTTGAAAAGTCGGGACTAAAATACAGAAAGAAAATCACACTCGACAATTAAGTCAAATAAATCAGGCTGAAATGGCAGTATTATCTACATTGATTGACTCTCTAATCGTCATCGCTTACGTATTCAGACGACTTTCAAAGCTTAATTAGTAAACGCATGATTCTGTTTTGGATATTTTTTTAAATGTCATTCAATACGTAGGAAAGCTAGTTTGATTATCAAACCCTCTTTCTCTCTCTCTCTCTGATCTCTCTCTTTCTCTCTCCATGGGAATAAGGGGAAGCAGGTCCTTCACTTGGTCTGCTTGGCTATTGATTATAGCTTTTCTTGTCGTTGGCTTATCCTGTGAAACTTGTAGAGCAAAGGATGATAGTACAAACTGTACCTTCTCCTGCGGAAATATTCACAACATAAGCTACCCTTTTCGACTAAAAGATGGTCCAAAGCACTGCGGCCACGTTCTGTATACGCTGTCTTGTGAGAACAACATTACTGTAGTAGACCTACCTTCCTCCGGAAAATACCATGTCCAGGCAATCAACTATGATAACCAAACAATCCGCATCATAGATCCTGGTCTTCAGAACAACAATTGCTCCTCCATGTCTCGAAATTTTCCGCTTTTGCCTTTTACGTCTACTCCATATAATTTTCATGGTAATTACACAGCGGATTCACAGCTTTCAACAGTTATATTTTACTTGAAGTGTTCGAATCCAATGAATTCTTCTGTGTATGTGGACACTGCTCCATGCTTCGATGCAAGTGCTTCTTCTTCGAGCCAACCAAAAACGTATAGCTACGTCAAGGTCGGTTGGATGGAAGTAGGGGATTTGGATGAGGGTTGCAGTGCAGAGTGGATGACTTTCGCGCTCTCGAGCTACGTCAAGGACTACAACACCTCTTATGAAAACATACACAAGGCGCTCATGTATGGATTTGAGCTTCGAGTATATAGTGTTGATGAAATGGGTCCAATGTGTCAATGGTGGATTAATCTTAAATGTTTCCCACACAGCATCCCAGGTGCGTGAATTCTCATAGAATATAAAGACCAATCCAAAAGTTTGAGTTGTTATTAAAATTAGTTCCAACCTTATTACTATATCTAGGTTGTTAATACGATTGATAACCAGTAACTGTTTTCAGTTTTCCATTTCAAAAAAAATGAAAACAAAAACTGAAAACGAAGCTAAAAAGCTTTTACTTAGTTCAGGATGTTTTATTTCCCATTTCCTAATACTAAATTTCCACTTTAGGTAGAACAAATTGGGTATCTGACTTCATGCATTAGTTTTAAATTTTTGTCTCTAAACACACACACACACACAATTGGAACTACGTAGAAATATCGATCAACAGGCATGAAGGCAATGTTTGATTTAGAAATGCAGACGAACACAGATTTTGGGTGGGAATCTATACAATTTTAGAAAAACTCTTCCAACTCTGTGTGCTGAATTGCTAATGTTGTCTACTTCTTTGTCACTGTAGGTTTCTTTCGATTTCTGGGGGAGGCGACTTACGGTAAGGGAGTTCGCCTCATTAATTAGTCTCCCTCTTCTTCATTTTTTATTCCAATGTTATTCTGTTACAGCTTCTTGGTTCACAACAAGAGGTTTAACCCTTCTAGGAAATAGTTTCAAACTCTGGTTAATTATATTTGAAGAATGGCATATTTGGATTGCTCTTGAAAGGTGAAAAATCACTTCCAATTGCGTTTGGTAAAGACATAAAAGTTTCTTTTTCGCTCGTATAAGCGTTTTTCCTTTTAGAAACATCTATCATTGCATCTTCAGAAAGCACTTTAAAGCTCTTTGTCAAAAATCAATTGGATTTGTAAGAAAATTTCAACATGTTTGCAACGGAAAACATTTTTCTTGCACAAGTTGAGCAGAAATGTTTTTTGAAAGAAAGCAAACCAAACAAATCTTTACTGGCTACATGAGTTAATATAAAAATAATGTTGGTATTGATTTCTTTCAGAAGCACTTCTACTAAAAGTGCTTTTTATTTATATAAATATTGAAATTTTAATTAAAAACCCGAGTGCATTTCCAAGAAGCACTACCTCTCAAAGATGCCTCTCTAAATTGAGCTTCTATGATCCAAAAACACATTTAAGTTCTTAGCCAAACACAATCAGAATTCAGAAGTGATTTTTCCCCTTCCAAATGCATTCCAAACATTGCCCTTGAATAGTATAGATTATTAAAAAAAAGTAAAATATGATAAACCAAAAATAAATATGGATTTTCTGTACATGTCATACAAAAATCTTGACAAAAAAGAGAGTAAAATGCATCAAACATCATTTCTTGGCGAGTACATGTGCTAAAACTTGATTTTGAATGTGGACTAATGTTTTCTTTTCATGATTCATCCCTGCAGTTTTCTTTGCTCGTGGAAGCTTCTACATTGGTAAGAACTTTCTATCCAAAAGTTTCTTTCATTTCTTCTTTCTTTCTTCTTTTTGTTTAGACGACAATTGTCAATTCAAAGAACAGTCGCAATTTTCTTTTCTTTTATACAAATGATATTTAGGAGAGGGAAAATTATACTCGCCGACCTCTAGCGAAATGATGAATGTGCGTAGCCAACTGAGCTACAAGTATTTTGCTAGAGCAGTCACATTAAACTCAGTTTTACTTTGTTTTTCACTAGTTTTTACTATCATATGTTTGGACTTGCAATCTCAAACTTTGCGTTTTACATTTGTTGCAGATAAGTTTCTTTGGTTTCGGGCGATATCCTTCAGTAAGAACTTGTATTTCTTGCATATATATTATATCTCGAGTCTTTGATTTTATTCGTTTGATTCACTTTTATAACTTATACTTAAGCTTTTGACAATTCGTACTGTTACCATATTTGTTGCAGAAAATGGATGGTTGCCATTGATTTGCCTCGGTAAGAGCTTTTAATTGTTCTCACTTTCAGTTTACTTTCTCTGGCACTCTTTTGGTGATAATAAATCTCTTGTGCAGGTTTATTTTTAGCAGTAAGACTACTTTTAGGGGTTCCATTTGTGATTGCATTTCTGATCTATAGATGGCGAAGAAGACATTTGTCAGGGTTTAGCATCATCGAAGATTTTCTGCAAACCGAAAACAACTTCATGCCAATAAGGTACTCTTACTCGGACGTTAAGAGAATGACTAATAAATTTAAGGACAAGTTGGGCCAAGGCGGTTACGGTTCTGTATTTAAAGGAAAGTTACGCAGCAGTCGTTTTGTGGCGATTAAACTTTTGGGCAAGCCTAAAAACAATGGGCAGGACTTCACTAGTGAGGTAGCTACTATTGGAAGGATTCACCATGTTAATGTGGTGCAACTTGTTGGTTATTGTGTTGAAGGATCAAAGCGAGCTCTAGTGTATGATTTCATGCCTAATAGCTCTCTTGATAAATACATTTATTCCAAAGAAGGAAGTATCCCCTTAAGTTGCAAGAAGATGTATGAGATTGCTTTTGGAGTTGCTCGAGGGATCGAATATCTACATCAAGGTTGTGACATGCAAATTCTACATTTTGATATCAAGCCTCATAACATTCTTCTTGACGAGAACTTTAACCCGAAGATCTCCGATTTTGGGCTTGCAAAATTATATCCCGTAGACAATAGCATTGTTACTTTGACGGCAGCAAGAGGGACGATGGGATATATTGCTCCAGAGTTGTTCTACAAAAATATTGGAGGGGTCTCATACAAAGCTGATGTCTATAGTTTTGGAATGTTGTTGATGGAAATGGCAAGTAGAAGGAAAAATTTTAGTAGAATCGCAGAGCATTCGAGCCAAGATTACTTCCCGTTATGGGCTTACGATCAATATAGTGAGGGAAATGATCTCTTGGAGATGGGCAATGTTACAGAGGAGGAAAAGATAATGATAAAAAAGATGGTTATGACTGCTTTTTGGTGTATTCAAATGAAGCCAAGTGATCGCCCTTCGATGGACAAAGTCATACAAATGCTTGGAGGAGATGTTGAAAACCTAAAATTGCCCCCCAAACCTTTTCTTAACCAACAAGAAATGCCTGGAGTCGATATTCAAGGTAGTTTGAACCCAAAATCTTCTAACGGCGAGATAACGTGGAGTTTGTCAGCTAGGTGAAACGGTGTTGATGCACAAAACCGGAGGGGTCTTGGAACAGCGTAAATCCGACTGTGAATCTGCAAGAAAGTAAATAACACAAGATGTATCGTGGTTCACCTCAATGTTTGGGCTACGTCCACACTGATATTGTATTTCTCTGAGATGATTGTGAGGGAGAGAGCCTCTGTAATGTGAGAGTGAGGCTTTGAGAGGGTGAGGGGGCTTGCTCTGAATATGAGAGCTTGTCCCTATTGTGAGGGTGAGGAGGCCATTTTATAGACTAAGGGCTCCTCCCCTTTTTACATATTTGCCCCTTCATTTATTATATAATTACATTTGAGTCCCCCGAGTATTTATACGAGATCTAAATACGGAGGCCCTAAGTATGGTACAAACAGTAGTCCCCCAAGTCTTCAGTCAAGAAAGTCTTTTGGCTGGAGACTTGAAATTCAATCCATGTGTGGGCCGAAGTAACTACTTGTCGTCTAGAACTGATACTTGATATGAAGTGGTGCTCAAAGTGAAATGATGCTCAACTAGAAGTAGCACATATTGCGAGGCTGCTCGGTTTGTGGCTTATGTTGCCTTGGTTGGCTTGGCTTGTAGCGTTTGAAGGTTAGGGAGTCCCTTTTATAAAATAAGGGCTCGCTCCTCAATACATAAGTGATGGGTTAGGAGTGATGCTTGCGGCGAGGCGGTTGCTCAGCTAGCGGCGATGCTCTCTAATGAAGGTGAGGGAGTCCTTTTTATAAAATAAGGGTTCACTCCTCAGTACATAAATAATGGGTTAAGAGTGATGCTCGCGGCAAGGCGGTTGCTCAGCTGACGGCGATGCTCTCTAATGAAGGTGAGGGAGTCCCTTTTATAAAATAAAGGCTCGCTCCTCAGTACATGAATAATGGGTGCTCTCTAATGAAAGTGAGGGAGTCCCTTTTATAAAAAAAGGGCTCGCTCCTCGATACATAAATGATGGGCTAAGTCCCCCAAGTATTTTTCATGAGGCCCAGTTGTGGAAGCCCAATATATGGTACATAGTGTAGTTGCCCAAGTCTTCAGTCAACAGAGGTTGTTGGCTGGAGACTTCAAATTCAATCCATGTATGGGCCGTAGTGACGGTTGTTCGAAGGCGGTATTTATATACCCTGCACTGAAGCTTTGTAGGTGAAGCTTTGCAAGTGAAGCTTTGAAGCTGGAGCTTTTGTAAATGAAGCTTTTGAAGCTGGAGCTCTCGAAGCTGGAGCTCTGTAAATGAAGCTTTCGAAGCTGGAGCTCCCGAAGCTGGAGCTCTGTAACTGAAGCTTTCGAAGCTGATTGACATGAGTGATGCTCATGAATGTTGACATGAGTAATGCTCATGAATGTTGACATGAGTAATGCTCATGAATGTTGACATGAATGATGTTCATGAATGTTTATGTATGATTGACATGAGTGATGCTCATGAATGTTTATGTATGATTGACATGAGTGATGCTTATGTATAATTTTTGAAGTACTGGACGTACTTTTGATCACATGGTTGGTGATAATAGCGGCAGGGTGCCGAATAATTTTGGAGTACTGGGTGTACTTTTGATCACCTGGTTGGTGATAATAACGGCAGGTTGCCGAATAATTTTGGAGTACTAAGCGTACTTTTGATCACCTGGTTGATGATAATAGCGGCAGGGTGCCGAATAAATTTGGAGCCATAAGGCCTGGCTCTTTTGGGCATATGGGCCTTGGCCCTCTACAAAACATTTTAGCCCATTATTTTAGGCTTGCTGTTTTTTTTTTATTTTTTATGATTACCTTCTGGTGGGGTTTATACAGATGTCTTCGAAAGATAAGAAAAATAAATCACATCATTCAAAAATAAATCCGACCCTCAGTTCAATAGGTCACAACCATAATTCCCTTTTCTGCATGCCATCACCACCGCAATTATGTCTGCTTTTTTTTAATTTTTTTATCTTCTTTTGCTTTTTGCTTTTGTTACTGCTTTTGCTTTCTGCTTTTGCTTTTGTTTCTGCTTTTGCTTTTGTCTCTCCACTTCCTACATGTTCTCCTGTAAAACGTAACAGTTGCCTGGACAGCCTTGACACCACCCACTTGCTTTTTTTGCTTTTCTCTAAAGTGACAACTGTTTTAACAGTCAGACAGTACTCGATGAAATTGTCATATTCAAAGGCCCTCTTTTTGCCTCCAGACTTGTCGAATTTAGAGACCAGCAGTTCCAAAACTACAGGTGACACAGAATATCCCAGACTCAGCAGTGCATCTCTCAACTCATTTGCATCAATGAACCCACTTCTGTCCCGGTCGAAACTCTTAAATATTCCCCTCCAACTTTGAAGACTGTAGAACAGTGTAGCGAATTCCCTATGCCCGATCTTCCTGGCGTTGGAGGAACCTTCGACCTCTGCTTCAGGATCCTCTTCTTCCTCTGAATCTGAACCACCTTGGGCCATTTCAGGAACCGGGTCGGATCCCTCTTCGATGGCTAACTAGTTCAAAGCTGGAGAAACCTTCAACCTCTGCTTCAAGATCCTCTTCTTCCTCTGAATCTGAAACACCTTGAGCCATTTCATAAACCGGGTCAGGTCAGATACCAAGCCGGCGTCTAGCGAGGTGCCCGTCAAGTTCCCGCAGAAGATGAAGAAATCTACGAGCTCCAAGTCTGCTTTTGCTCATTTCCAGGAGGATGATATCGTCGGGATTCGTCGGCCGGCGACCGTGAGGGAAAGGAAGCAGCTGTGCTGGAAGATGGAACAAAGATAGCAGATGAAGATGATCAAATGAAGCAGGATGTGACTTCAGCTGCACCAGCAGAAAATAATGATGAGTCGTCTGATCCATTTGGGCTTGATGCCTTTTTAACTCTTGCCTCTACAAAGAAATATGATAGAACAAAGGAAAAAAAAAAGATAACAAGATCACAAAGGAAGAGGAAGAGAGAGATTTGATTCCCTGGGTTTCCTGAATACGAACCCAAAACCCAAAAAGCAACGACCTTTATCTTCCTTGTGGGCTTGTGTTAAGTGTTTGAGATTTTGATCTTTTCTATTTATGGGTTTTTGTGATTTTGCAGATTCACAGTCGAGGTGAAAAAATGAAAGAGAACCGACACAACTTTTCGTATCGATTCTCACAAACAGCGCCAAATATTGATGCACAAAACTGGAGGGGTCTTGGAACAACGTAAATCCGACCGTGAATCTGCAAGAAAGTAAATAACACAAGATGTATCGTGGTTCACCCCAATGTTTGAGCTACGTCCACACTGATATTGTATTTCTCTGAGAGGATTGTGAGGGAGAGAGCCTCTATAATGTGAGAGTGAGGCTTTGAGAGGGTGAAGGGGCTTGCTCTGAATATGAGAGCTTGTCCCTATTGTGAGGGTGAGGAGGCCCTTTTATAGACTAAGGGCTCCTCCCCTTTTTACATATTTGCCCCTTCATTTATTACATAATTATATTTAAGTCCCCCAAGTATTTATACGAGATCTAAATACAGATGCCCTAAGTATGGTACAAACAAACGGTGATCATCAAGATGGTAAAAGATTCATCAAACTACTATTAAGTTTTATTTTCCTACTGTTAGGTAATAATTATAATGTTTTTGTAAAAAGTTTTTGCTAAAGAATAGGGTAATGTTAGGAAGATCAAAATTTTAAACCAAATGATATGGTTGTTGATGATTGGATTGATACTTAAGTGTTATTAATGTGCTTATTTTCTATTGGTAACACATTATTTGATGGTTGTTATATTAACACCACACATATTGTTGAACACACCGCACATACTTAATACATCACACATTTGTTTTTTTAGTTAAAAATTATCTTAATACACCCCACTTGTTTCTCCATAGTACCCTCACGCCCCACTCTTAAAATACACTTTACATTTTCTATATACACCTCACATTTCCTACTTACACTCCACTCTTTACATCTCATGTGCAATTAATACATAATATCATCCAAAGCACCTTCGGTGTGAAGCTGAAGGCATGTGGGATACCAGAATTTTTCTAATTTCTCCCAACTACATGTGAAGCACAACTCCACTTTGAACTTGAGGGGATTTAGTTCAGCAAATCCTGAACGAGGTGTTGTGGGTTACCACCTCAACAATCTCATATTCTCATTAGCCTAATTCAACGGAGTGTACAAGGCATAACTCATACTCTATTACGTGCATGCAGAAGTGACTGGCGTTGCTGATGGAAATCTTGGAGGATTGAGACCTGAAGCTACTCCGTTTCCAGCATTGCTCTTCTACTCTCCTTGATTCTGTCCGTCAACTAGTTTAACCTGTTGGTCATCAACAACAATGATCGTTCGATGTCTGTCACATAACCAAAACTTCACGTAAACAAAACTTCACATGAACAAGAAATCTTGAAGCTTTCCGAAACGTCAATCTCATGTCCCATTTGTCAAAAATAATTGTTCTCAATATTAGTGTGTTTGTAGTTTCATTGCTTAATGTTTTTTTCTACAATTGAGGGCGAGACGGGTTATGAGAGTTGAAGAAGATAAATAATAAGTTAAAAATGATTTGGAGTGTATTTCGAAATTTCTTGTTTTTTTTTTTTATAACCTAATAAGGTCGAAGTTGTCATAGCATAGTAGGGTATATAAGTCATTTAATATTAAATTTTAATGTGGAGGTGTATTCAACATTATATAGGATGCTAATAAAAAAAGCCTATTTGATTTGCAAATTTAGTTTAAAAACTTGATCTTCCTAGCATTATCCCAAAAATTAACATTTTTTTCCTTCTATTTTGGAGATGAGCTTCTACTTGAGTCATCTCGGTTACTCCACTCGGTGACTCCACAATTCTTCATCACTTGAGAGTTGAGATCCCACCTTAGAGAGCATAGCATTTAAGTAGTGCTATATATTTCCAGACGGTGGTGCTATATGCACACGTCCTGTTAATTTTTGTTATTTAATCTTTTTTAATTTATTTTATCCGACAATCAACAATTGAAAAAAAAATGCATAAAAGATAAAAAAAAAACATTTGTGAATAACACCACTCTTTCTTAAATGTAAATCACATGCACTTTTACATGCTAGATTACTTTTTGGTGGGGGACATTCGGTTTAGACCTAAAATGTGGGAGAGACTTATGAGGGGAACAAGT